AAGTAAACTAATAAATAGGGGTATAGGCGCTCGATAGTATATAGTAAGGCTAGCGCCGTAAGGCCTAAGCGAAGCCTAGCTAGAGCCCTAGAAACAGCGCTAGCGTAGCGATAGTTAACTCGATTAAGCTACTTTCTTATAAAGGACGCTAACAAAAGTAGCTAATACGATAAAGGCGAGGTAACGAGGTAGTAAGCTATCCGTTTTAAGGCTTATTAGAGACCCTTACTAGTTTATAACCCGTTAAGCCCTTACGCTTAGTTTTAGTATAGCCTTATAATTATTAGTAAGGTATAGACTATCTCTTAAAGGCCTTAGACTTCTATTTATAGAGATATTAGAGGAGACGCTATATTAGCGAGCTATTATAATACTACTCTATTTTAGTAAGTGCCCTATATATCCTACTATATCTGTCTAATCTAAACTCTTTTAACTTTAATTATAGCCTTACTTTAGCTAGCGCTCTTAGAAACCCGGCTACTAATAGTAGGAAAAGCGGCTTAGTCTATATACGTCTATAGAAGGTAAAGAGTTATCGTATATAGTAGACTATCTAGGTCGGATAGCCTATAGCGGCGATACAAATAGCGAAGCCCTACCTATAGGTATCGGTTCTAGATCGTTTAAGGCGGACGGTTATCTAGCTATAAGGTTAGCCTAAAAAGGTATTATCTAACCTAGTATTATTTTCCCTATTAGCTAACCCTTAAAGCCGACCTTACGGCTATTATCGTATATTAGCTCCTTTAGTAGAAAGGGGCCTTTCTAAGCTAAAGTCTAGTAGGTATTAAAATTAGCCTTATCGAGATTACGAAGCGGCCTAAATAATAGTACTTCTAATATATTGTTATAAATTAGTTAGCGGTTCTACTTTAAACTATAAGTAGGGTAAGTATAAATAGCGCCTTAGGCTATATACTTAGCTAGTAGCAAGTTATAAAGAATAAGTAGAAGATTAATATTAATATAAAGAGCGGATTACGTCGATATAGATATATAGAGAGCGGCTAAGAATCGGCTTCAAACCCGGATATACTATAGGGTAGTATATATAATCTCTTAGGTAAGGCTATAATTTAAGTATAGTTAAGGCGTACTAGATACTATATTAGTAGATTATATAATTATAGGTTATTCTTATAGTATTATAGGTAAGTCTATAGTATAGAAGAAAAGTATATATATACAATCTCGATTTAACCTCCTAGAACTACTATTTTAATATAGATAGGATTAGTATATTCAAATTATTCTAAACTATAATAAGTTAATAGAATAAGTATAAGCGGTCTAAAGGCTAGGGCGTAAGAGGGCGTTAGTAGAACTATTATAAGTAGAATAAAGCTATTAAACTATTATAATAATATTATAAATAAGGGCTAGGAAAAGCGCTTAGTATAGGAGGTTAACGCCTACTTTAGTATTAACGGAATATCTAAAGAAGACGTAGAAGCTAGAACGATTATCTATATAGATAGTAACTCGGATATTAGACTATTTCTAAGACAGCCTATTAAAGGCTAAAGCTACTACGTTTATCTCTATAACTTATATATCGCTTTTTATATAGCGGACTATAAAAGTATTATAGGTATAGAAACCCTAGGGAGGGGATTAGTCTAGTCGCCGTTAGGTCCGCGGTACTAAAAGCCTCCTATTCTATAATTATAGACGTCTATAAAGAGGGACATTTAGGGCAAAGATAGGCCGTTAAAAATATATAAGCTACGGCTCGCTTATAGAACTAAAGTCTATTTATTTAGGTCGCTTCTTGCCTATATTAGAAGCCTCCGTTTAATCTAGAGTCGCAATTTATACTAGGTAAAGAATAGCTATATTTTAGCGTTAAAAAAGCGGCTAGGTAAAAAAATACGGATATACTATACTAAGTAGGCTATAAGGGTTAGAGTTTAGTAAAGGCCTAGCGAGTTAGGGGCTATCGTAGCTATAGTTATAGTAGTAATATAAGGTTTCCTATCGTCCGAAAGTAAAGCGTCTATTATTATTAAGTTTATAGTAATACTAAGGGTCCTATTAGCGGAGCCTTCTATATTCCTCCTATCGTTACGAGATATCCTAAGGTCGTCTATTAAGGTAATCTATAAATACCGGACTTTAGTAGTATACGGTTATTATTATAAACCTAGCTTTAGTAGGAAAACAGAGTCGTCCGAGTAATAGATTATATATACTATAGTACTATCGAAAGTAGAGGTAGTATGGTATATTTCGAGTAGCTAGTAAAGTCCCTAAATAAATAGGTTAAATATCTATAGTACCTATACGTAGGCTAAATAGGAGCCTAAGCTCCTTATAGAAGCGAGCCTACTCGTTAAAGGCTAATAGTTACTATTAATATAGGAATGCTAGTATATTATATAAGGCCGCCTTAGCGTCTTCTTTAGTAGTAGTCGTACTCTAACCGAAGCTATTAACCTTATTAAAGATATCGTCGAATAGGATATAGCGGATAGTTCTGTATTCCCTCGGGATATTACCGTTTCTAGAATAACTATAAAGCTATAATAGGTCGTAAATATAGCGGAAGCCTCTATAGTGCTTTAGTACTAAACCTTAGGATAGGATAATAAAGTTATACTTATTAAAATCTAGTAATTTAGTAACGCGGTAATACCGTGTCTCGTCGATAAGCGGGGAGGTCATTTCGGTAGTATCTAGGTCTATATAGCTATAGTTAACTTAGCGATTTTAGAGTACTTACGATATCTATATATACTAGAGCCTTCTTACGGAGTATTAGTACTAAACTTTAGTATATAGTATAAGATATATAGACGGGAAGGGTCTAGATATTACTAAAGTAGTAAGCGCTATTGCCCTACTTTTAATAGACCTCTGTAATAGATTGTTATTTGTATAGAATAAACGCTATGATTAGGGAGTATATTAGAAGGTTTAGAAGGTTAGTAGGGTTCAAGTAAGAGGTATTTATAGCTAAATCTAGCCGCTAGGTTATATTTACAACTAGATCTAGCCGGTTGGTTAAAGAGTTAGGTCTTCTTCTTAGAAGGGTACTTAAAGATCTTAGTGTGTATATAAAGGTATATACATTATAGATACGATTATCGAGATATACTAACTAGGTATTACTACCTATAGAAAACCTGTCTATATAAAGCTTTATCTAACGTAGGATAATATCTATAGATACAAGAAATCTTAGTTGTCTGTATATTATCTAGGATAATGCTAGTATAGGAAAGCTATCTATACTAGTATATATCTAGATTAATATCTATTATCTAAAGACATAGTTCTACTATTAAACACAAAGAGTATCTATAATTTCTCTATAGTAAGATATCTATATAGATAATATTATCTAAATAGTATCTATACTAGACTATATAAGATCTCTAGAACTTATAGATAGAGGGACTTCCTACTAAAGATAAAGACAAACCGCTAAGCTACGTAAAGAAATATCTAAATTTATATATATATCTCTTAGCGATAAGTCCTTTACGTTTCGCCGCTTTAAAGGATAATAAAACTATACGTTTTAGTCCTTAAGGATCGAGTCTTACCTAGTAGAGAAGGGCTTTTTAAGACTATAGTCGACGATTATATAGACTAAGAAACAAAGGCTTAAGCCTTGGCGATTCTTCGACTATAGAGGATAGTCCCTTCTTATAAATTTAAAAAAGACGGACCCGGAAGAAGCTTAGAATACTCTTAGGGAGTTATACTCTCCTAAGGGACTTAATTTTATCTACCTCTTACTAAAGGACTTACTTTAAACAAATTGAGAGTTATCTAAAAGCGTCTAATAATATAATAATATTGTTCGCCGCTTAAACAACGAATTAGAGTCCGAGGAAGTTAAGCTTCCTAAACAAGTTATAGTAGCTTAGACGCTAAATAATTATAGCGATAAATACGAGTTTTTCGTAACAAATTTAGTATAGATATTGCTAAAAGGCGCAGATAGCCTTAAATTAGAAGATTTATTCTCTAATCTATAGGACAAATCGAGACGATATAGTACTATTAAGAACAAACTAGTACTGTTTCTTAAGTCTAATTCGCCTAAGAATAAACTGTCTAAAAAGCCGCTTAAGCGTCTATAGGACAAGGGACCTAAGAGCGTATCTAGGAAGTATATATACTTTAAAAAGAACGGATACTTAGAAGATACTTACTACTACAAATCGGCTATTTAACTAGAACTAAAGAACTAGACTATAGAAAGTATTTAGACGAAGAAGAGTATCTTTATTTGTCTATAGATAGTCCATATCGCGTATTCTTCTTTAGAATCGTCTAGTAATGCCGCTTTTGTCTAAGATAGCGGCGCTTCTATATAAGTTATTAGCTATAAGTCGTACCTTACGACTTATACTAATAAATCTAATACGATAAACTAGGGCAATACCGGATCTATAATCGCTCGCGGTATAGCTAATATAAAAGTACGACTTCAAGATATCTCTAATACTATAACTTTCTACGCCCGAGTTTAATATAAATATAACAAGTTTATTATTATTATTAGAGAACCGCGAGGTTACGGCCTCGTAAAGAAACGGTATAATAGAACTTATAGTAAGGATAGAGCTCGAATAACTAACGCATACCGAGTTAGCTTTATAATAAACCCTTAAAAGCCAAAGAAGCTCTAGCTATAGACTCTAAAGACAAGTCTCTAATCTAGTATAAACGGCTTAGATATATAAGCCTCTATACTCTAGAAAAAGCAGGCATAAAAGGAGCTAAAAACTATTATTCTACTAAGGAATACGAGGTATATATTAAATCTAAATATACCCTAGGTATAGGCTAGGTCGTACTTTTTCTATAGCGGCGGCGGCATTATTGAATAGCCTATCGTTAGGCTTATTAGGCTCTAATTCTACCGTATCGACCCTCGCGCCTATTTCTTAGAGAATATTAGAAAGGGCGGTAGCAATATATACTATCGCTATTTAAGTACGAATATTATACTACGTCGTATTCTCGAAGGTATAGAAGCGTCGCTTTATTACTCTAAATGTCCGTTCGACGACGTTACGGAGGGAAGTATACCTTAGATTAAACAACTACTTATAGTTAGCTAGCTTTATTATAGCTACGTATTGCTCTCGCAAATAGTGCCTTATACTACGGTATAGAACAAGATATAGGGCATTATTTAGATAGCTAGTATCTACGAGATAATATCGACCTTCCGGCGCCGTAAATCTATAGTACGAACGAGCGTTATTAAGTACGCGCCCGTCGTAAGTAGAGCCCTCCTATCTAGCGAGAATAAACCTAAACCTTATACTATAGTCTATAACTGCTAATACATTCTACGATAGCGTTCCTATACGGTTATAGAAGGCCGCCTATTAATCTACTAGTACGTATACTAATATATAAGAGCTATCTAGCGCTCTAACGGTATCTTTAAAGAAAGGCTAGTGTTTACGGCCCTTCGACTTAACTACTAGATTGTCGTCTTTATCGGCTAGAATAACGACCTCTATATATACCTCTAGTATAGTAGCTATAACTTTGTAGTTAATCCGACCGCCCTTATCTAGCGTATAAGAGAAGTCTTCCGCTAGGTCTCGAGTATAACTATTAGTTACAAACGCTTATAAGAATATTACTACTTTCTATTCTTTGCTAATATATCGGCCGCGCCGTAGGTACGGCGATATTAGCTAAAATAGGTACGTAAACGTATCTAGTTAAAAGCGAGGATAGCGGTATAATATTCTCGTAGCATCTTTACCTAATAGTAATCTAGTAAAGGCCTCGCCTTTATCGTTTTATAGGTATAAAGTACGTACTCTAGAAGGCTAAGAAAGCGCTAATCTTTGTAGTAGTAATACTAGTATTATAAACGAGAAGATAACTTTACGCTTAACGATCTACTAGCGATAGAGGTTGTCTATTATTACTAACAAATATAGTAATAACCGCGATTATAGTATACTACGAACGAACCTACGACGTACGTAGCCCTCCTACGCTCGAAGAACGCGCCTACGTATTAACTAGCGTTACGTTCGTTCTATAAGTAGCCCTCGATCTTAATCGTAACGTACGGCCGTTAATCCTATCGAAGAGCCTTCGAGCCGTCTTACTATACTAGATTTAGCGTAGAAAGCGGTACTCCGGAAGCCGCGGAGGTCTATATTCGATTAAAGAGATTACACTTAGAAAGGGTATTATTAAGCACTAGAGACAAGACTTACCTCGTAATCCTATCGAGAATATTTAATAATATTATATATTGTTTAGTATCGCTTAGATTACGTATAGATTAGATTATAGATACGATAGGCTCTTAGATACTAGATCTTAAGAGTCCTATAGAAAGGGTATTATCCAAATATAATCTATCTATAGATAATAGTAGCCCTTCTATCGATAATAATACTCTAGATCTAGAGAAAGAATCTTCGTAGCTAGTAGTACTAAGGCTATTATACTTACTAGAAACCTAAAGCGTAGCCTAAGGACTTAATCGGTCTATTCTAGTCTTCTATAACTTAAGTAATTAGCGACTATAACCTTCTCAAAGTATAGGTTCTATACTCGTATACTAACTGGCTTTTAGAGGCTATAGTTAATGCTAGTAGTAGCTAGATTAAGTACTTAGCTTACTCGTATGCTTATCTATAGTCGCTATAACGATACTACCTATCTAAGGCCTATAGCTGTCTGTACCTTTACGTTACTGTAAAGCTTTTGGGGATGGAGAGTGACCGTATACTACTACTAGCACCTTCCTACTTCTATATTTACTACCTTATCGACTTCTAGAAGATGTATCTCTCCGACTTATACTATATTTAAAAGCTAGAGATAATCTATAGTAACTATAAGCATTTTGCTAGCGGTGCGACGTTATATATAATAGGGCGTATAGTAATAGCCTAAGAACTAGACGACTTAAATAAGACTATAGTAGCTAAGAAGTAGAAGATAGCGATAATAAGGGCCGTAGACTTTACTATAGAGCTAGGCGTATATCTTATATAGCTTCGGCCGATAATTATTTAAGTACTATAAGTACGTAAAGAGCTAGTACTATACTTAATAGTACCTTTACTAGAAGGCTAATCGTACTTATAGCTTTACTTGCTATCTAAGCGGCTTCGAGTGCTATAGTCTACGTTAAGAAGCACTTCCGGTTAGGCTATAACCTTTTAGTAAGCTAGACCTTCTATAGTAAGATCTTAATAACTTCGAGCTCGTAAAGAGTAGCGGACTTAGTAATAGACTAAGTATAGCTAATAGGAGGCGACGTTATCTAAATAGCAATAGCGACAAGCTGCTTAGTAATACTTGCTAGTACTAGTACTAGTAATAGTAGTAATAGTCGAAGCAATTTCCTACGAATAGAAAGATATAATAATCCATTAAAAATTCGTACTTCGAGAGAGAACTCTTATAGGTTCGATCGCTCCTAGAAGAACTAGTTCTAGAGATCTAATTATAAGATAAACACTAGAGGTACCTAGTAGTACGCGTAACTTATTACGCGTCTCGAGAAAACTCTAGGATCTTAGTAGCTACTAGTATATAGCTACGGATATCGCTACTTAGCTAGATAAGTAACTTAATAATTACCTACTCGATAACTACTACTATAACTTCCGACACTCCCTACGACTTCCGCTCGACTATATACTCTACCTTCGGATAGATTCCCGAAACGTCTCGTAGAATAAGATACTATAAACCTTTAAATATCTATAGATAGCTATCTATACTCTCGATACTTATAATAAAAATCGATCGTTCTTTCGGATTATATCTATCTACATTACGTAATCCTATTAACCTATACGGATAAGAAGAACGATAGAAAACGTCGTTTACGAGCTTCGGAAATTGTTTAGGAAATAGATTAACCTTCGAACTAACGAACCGCCCGAGCCGAACCGGACCGTTAAAGAGTCTAAAGATCTTAATCTATATATAAACGTATATAGACTAACGTATCTATAATAAAGACTATAGACTAAAGATATAATTATTTAGACAACTAGCTATCTATAGCTATAGATATTATATATATCTAGAGGTAAAACAATTAGATAATACTACATTTAGAAAGCATATCTCTAGGTAGCTTTATCTTATCTAA